TTTACTGCAGTATATTATTATGTGAAGCTTGTAAGTAACTACAGTTGAACACCACCATCTCGAACTCTCGAGGGAAACGAAAAATAGTTAGAGATCGCGATTGTAAATGAGTGAAAAGCATATCTAAGGGAGAGATAGCAAGATAGCGAGGAGATCAGCTTGAGATAGCGAGATTCGACAATCAGTGATGTTGCTAAAAATTTGACAAAAAAAAAACCCTTCAGAAAAGTGACAAGGGATTGATGACAAGTGTTGGTGCCGCATATATCGAAAAAAAAATTCAGTTACTTTGAAAGCTAAAAAATTTTTATCGGAGCCATTGTAAAAACTATTAAATATTAGAAACTTTAGCCTTGTAATGTTATTCCTATCCACGTACTATGGACTTTAACCTGTGTAAAACCGCCTCCCTAGGCTCCCCTCCCCCTAAAATATCGGGGGTGGGGGTGCTAGGGGATTAGCGGATGTACACAGCCTCTATGGACTTGAGATTTCATTTTTAAATATTGAAAAAAAAAATAAAGTTAGTAAGGTTCGTGCACATTGTTGTATGCAAAATTCACGACCTTTTTGTACTGTTTACAAACCGTTATTTCCCCTTTCCAAACCGCAAGTGAATCAGATCACATTTGAGAACTCGGGAACCAAAATGTGGCATAGATGTTATACTGAGAACACAACTGACGAGAAACTGCGCTGTAATGCGAACGCACGATTGAATTGAATGATACTTTACGAAATTTGACTTACTGACAATGCAATAACGTGCTTTACAGCTCGCGATCGTAAAAAAAACTCCACTTTTCCAGTTTTTCTACGCTGATCACCGACTGTTGTTCAAGAGATCTTTGAAAAGTGGGTTTGAAATAAAAATCGGACAAGTTCGTTTTGTGGGTAGACAGATTTTCGTGTGACTATCCTGTGTTTGAGGTAAAATAAGACATCTGATCAATCAAAACAAGCGTTTTAAAAGAACGGTTTCGCATTTGCTTTAGTTTTGCCACTCTACACAATTGGCTTAAAAAAAACTCGCGCCACTTTGTCATCCAATCAGATACTTTTACTAAATCCAATCGTGACTCGCCCGCACACGTTTTTTCCCATGCTTCGTATCAGCTTCGTACATTTGCTTGGAGTTTCTCTTGGTTCAATGGATACACTCTGCGTCCTTTGCGATAGACCAGAGTAATTACTTTGGTTTTGGGTTGGTTGGACACTCGATTGAAAACTGCTCTAATTGACCAAACAACCAGCCAATCAGAGCTTGGTGCGAGTACACGCCACGTGCGCCAAGCGCGGGAAACTGACATGCGTGTGACTAGGGCGCTTATATGTAGGGCGGCCCTTTTCCGCCTTGGTGTGACCAAGGGCGCTTACCAGTAATTACCAATCAACCACCGAAAATTTAGAAACAGCGACAAATAGTATGGAAATTACCAGGAAAAGTTACCAGAAAATCCGGAAATTGTAAGGTTTCCGAAAAGCTAACCATTCGACGGAAAATTCTGGGAGGGAACACAAATGAAACAGAAATTCCTGGTCAGAAATTTCTGAAACTTTCGGTATACCCCGCAAGATTGTCCTCGTTTCCGGAAATTCAGGAAAATGCTGTTCAATCGTCGCTGGAAATTTTTGGAAACTCAAACCGGAATTTTTCTTCGAATGGAAAGCGTTCCAAGTCATAATTGGTTTTGGTTTGACTTGTCGTTTGTATCTGTTCGGTTGAGTTGATTGATGAGCGAGCAGCTGTTTCTTCTTCAAAATTATGAAGTTCACTGACAGATATGCCTGTATTTACTTCAAATTACAAAAATTCAATATATTAATTTTCACCACATAAAATATACATTTTCATTGTTCATTTGTTTGTTTACCCCTGAAATAATCGAAATAAGCATCTTCATCTTGTACAAGATCTCGACACAATTGTTTCTTATTCTGCGCGACCTTTGGATTCAGAAGTAATTTCGAAACAGATTTTTTGTGGTGGTCTCTGTGTTCTCCTGGACTCAGGCACTCCTTTTCCATTTCCAGCGACTTTTGCTTCAGCAACTTTACTTCAGACCAGAAGTTCTCGTCTTTGGAATTCACTTTCTTCCAAAACGTTTGATTAAAGTGTTGATAGAGCAACACATCAGCTTTATTCCATTCCAAAAATGTATTCCTAAATTGTCTTGGGATGCGATGTTTCTTCAACGACCGCAGCCGCGAATTGTGTTTTAGGTAGAATATGTCATCTAAACTCCAGCAAAACAGCTGCTTCAGTAATATCAGAGATTCATCAAAGTACTCCATAATTAACACCAGCTCAAAGTCTTTCTCAACCGAGGTGATAAAGTTTTTGATTACCTCCGTGTTATCAAACTCCTCAGGTTCCAGACCAAGATCAAAACTCATTCCATTTCTTAGTGTGTACATTGTGTTTATTTCTGGCTTGAATTTATCAATTTGCTGCAGGAATTGATAAAGAGGATTTGAAGAGCCTGAAATTCCAAGAAATGAAGGGAAATCTTCGAAGAGAAAGGCTGATTCAAACCTTGAAACTGGATGGCGAAGGATGGTTATAAACTTTGTATCAGAAGGCATTATTAATCTCATGGTGGTTTGATTATATCTGGGGAAAAAAGTTGTAAACTGTTATGAAAATTGATTACCACAAATCTGCTATTTAGCTGTCTCAACCCTACAGGGGAGCTCACCCGTATTTATTTCCAGTATGTTGAGGAGACACGAGTCTTCATGGAGGAGGAGGACTTGATAGAGAGGGAGGAGCTTATGCAGCAAAATATGAGCAGGTTATCAGTCTGCCACTCTCCTTTTCAAAGTAATTTGATAGGATAACTTTTTTTTATTACCTGGAGTACAGGTACCAGTGATATTTTAGCCAGAGCTTATGACTTGTCCATTTGAAGTTGTACAACATTGCTCTGTTTTTATTGTTTTCATAGTGAACAAAAAGCAGAGAGAGAGAACAGGGGGGCTTTTGGACTTTATTTGATAGATTTCTGATTCTTGTTACCAAAATAACTTAATAGACAAAAAGGGGGTGGGGTGGGAGGAGAGTTGGGAAGCCTTGTTTGCCAAAATCATGACGCAGATGATAATTTTTACCAGCAGATGGCGTCTTTTAACAACCCTTTACATATAAGGCTGAAAATGTGGCAGTACTGTAAAAAATAATGCATGTGTCTTGAAGACAAAATACCCCCAAAATATGCCAAGTCAGAATTAAAACACATACCCTTTTTTGAAACCAACATGATCAAACTCTACGCCCTTTTTCAGACCAAACCAGCTCAAAAGCCATACCCTTTGGGGTTGCACATACAGTCATATAAAGCCTTGTGCCTATATGAGGGAGTACCCCACCCCCATGGCCAGTATCCTTGGCCCCTGAATAGAGAGCATCACTCACGGTCTAAAATCACAGCACAATGACCCCAACAACTGACCCCAGTTATGAATTCTTAAAACAACATTACTTCACTTACCTCGCATGACTGCACAAGATATTTGGCTTGTTGCCGGGTAAATTACCAACAAAGTTAACTTGAAAACTCCAGGGCCAGTAAAAAGAAAAGATTTGTTTTCTAGGCAATGCCACTGTCAAATCCCTGGTCTTGGCAAATCTTAGCAAGATGTTGGCTATGGAGCTTCCACCAGTCTTGTGAGTTTTAAGGAACAAGACATTTTCAACAGAGTGACATGTACCACTACAAAGAGCAAAAGTTTAGTAACAATTATTGAAGTGCCTAGTGTAACCAGCATTGTAAAGAAGAAAGGTGACACAAGCGACCTGAATCATCAATGGACACTGATTTTATAGATCAACTAATTCTCTGGGAAAATATCGGAACGAATATCTGCCAACAAGTAAGCCCAGTAAACGATTATTTCAAGCTTGCCGAACTACTGAAAGAGATCAGAATGGTACACTCTTTTCACTTCAAACAAGCAAGCAGGTTTAACACAAATTTAACACCAAGAACAGTTTTAAGTCTGCGCTGTCATAATCACCGACTGCATACCGACACTGTAGATATTTTATATTTGAAGTATTATTTCTTCACACATTTTCTTAGACCCAGTCACCCTTTCACATTAATATACGGCGAGGGTTCATGTGATGTAAGGAACAATTGCTACGTTGTAGAGTCGTCTCAAATGTGACGACCTAGCACCTTTTAAACAGAGCTTATCGGTAAAAACAATACTCATAAGGATTGTTTAAGCTTTTGGTCTGGACCAAAGCCAAAGACGATTTGCTGACATTCAAAGTACCTACCTTTTAAGAGCTTTAAAAATCGGCAGAGCGGCATATTTAGTTAGGATAAAGATTATCAATGCAGCAAATGTCAATTTCTTTATCCGAGAAATTCTTAAAACCCTCATTACACGTTGTCTACTTCATGAATGCCTTCAGATCCTTTCCGTCCGCCATGTTGATTAGGTTTACCAGCCGCGGCGGACTGGGCCATTGCCCTCACGTGCGTGATTGTAACGCGATCCAGGCGGAGCTGTCAACGAAGATCACGGAAGGCTGGCAGATGGGTGAGTTTGGTGAATTTCATTGAGCAATGACAGGAACGGGAAATCTTAGGTTGCGTTTCTTTGGGGTGATCTGGATCAGCATCAGTGATCCGAGGTCAGTCGGATTATGGTGCACCAGAACCCGGGATCAAAGGAACCGTGACCAATTTCTTTGATGCACCATGATGCGAGTGCTAGTGATCTTGGATCTCTGATCCTGATCCAGACCACCCCAAAGGAAAGCACCCTCATTCTTTCAGCAGGAAATTTAAGATTTTATTTAACATTGTCAGATCAGCTCAGTTTGCTCAGAGCCCCCTTCCCCCCGCCCCCCTCCCGCCCCTCGCCCCCCAAAAAAGGTCGAAGGGCGCGGATTTTCTTACCTAGACTGGAGAAAAACAAAATTGACGTTTTCTGTTACTAAATAATTTATTCCGCAATACTGAAATTCACTCAGCGAAAACATTTATTAGATGTAACGCTTTCACAATTTGTCACTTTATTGAACGTTGTTTTTTATTAGTATCTTTTCAAGATGCCATGAACAGCTCGTTAAATACTTTTAATGACTCCTCAACGAAAATCAAATAACAAACTAACTTAGCCCAGGCTGTACATGTACCAACAACAACAATAATATTACAACGTAAATTACGTACATTTAAATTATAACTTACAGGTACCGTATATCTCATTTTTATTTAAAACTATACTTTCGTTTTAAAATCTGTCAATATGTTATCATTTCATTAAAATATAAATACATATAAGCCCGGCTAAAAATATCAAGTTTCTTTCAGTTTAACAAGAAATAACACACAAACTGCAGTGAGAAACATGACAATAAAACGCATTGTTTGAAACAAAAACAAAACTTTATCATTTAACTTGACGTTTCGTATGTTTCGACATACATCTTCAGAAGTGACCGTTGAGAATAGAAGTAACAACTAAATTTTAAAGATAAGTACCTTATAAACAATAACAAGGGCAAAAGCTGAAAAAATACTCCATGCAAACTAATCAGTAAAGATAAAGCTTTTCGCTGCTAACATTATCATTTAGGGTAGGTTTCAATTCCCTAAAGAAAAATAGTGTTCACGATATTCTTTCAGTTTACTTTTGAATCTTAACTTCAAAATGAACAATCTGTACCTGACAATATATTACAATTATAAGGAGAGATAAGATCCTGACTATCTCAAATTGCAATTAATTGAATATGATCAAGCTGTAAGTTTGTTTTCTCCGTAATAATCCAACCACTCCTGTAGTTTACTGATTTGTTTCTCCACAGAGCTCTTAGCTGTCCCTCCTTCAGCTGAATATTGTTCCACACTGTGTTCATAATCCCACACTTTACTCACATCTTCTTCAAAGAGCGAGCTGTGAACAAACAAGAAACAAAAACGCGTCAACTAACTAACAAAACTGCGACTCCAGCGGTGTGAGACATTCTCGGACAAAACACTTCATGTATCTAATCTTATTACACGACTAATACAACTAAAATCCGCCAGTCAAAATACCGGTCACTGCCAGTTCAGTATTTTCCAAGTATTGGACCGGATATGGATTCTACAACGTTTTTCAATCACAAAATCCCACCATAAATCCCCTAACCAACCACGCTCGAAACTGCTCTGACAAAATATCACAAATTCTCAGAACTTAATAACAGTTAATGTATGGCGCGTAGTAAGGAGAACTTGAACTCTCACAAGAGACCTTGCAGCTCACCTGAATTGCTCGAAACCGTTCCGTCAAAATATCACATGACGGCACACGCCCAAATTCTCAGGACTTAATTACAGTAAATGTATGGTACGTGGTAAGGAGAACTTAAACTTTCAGCTTGAGACCGTGCAGCTCACCTGACTTGCTTCAAGTCCTCAAGAGTGAGTTCGTTCAATGGACAGCCTTTGGTTTCTGCGACATGAACTGCAGCACCGGACAAACCATGAGCTTCACGGAATGGAACCTGAAAATATGGTTTGTAATGTTGTGCATCTTTTAATCGAGTACAAATCAGTGTACTCTAAAATTACGTCTTTCACAAGTACATCAAGCAGGTATCCGGCGATCTTCAAACGTTCTTCCCTTCGGTGAAATTCGCCGACTGAGTGCTCAAGTCTCGAGTACAGATCTAAGGCCCATCCACAATGCGCCGAAGAAATTTGAAAACTCAACTTTATTTCTACGGACCGAAAAAGGAGCTTTTCAACAACGCTCTTCAAACCGGAGGAACTTGAAAACGCCGGTTTTGCGTTTCAGTGTGGATGGAAAACATTTTGAAAACGGAGCTTTTCGAAAACGATGACGTCACGATGATAATGTGATTTCCCTGACCAAGTTTTTCTCAAACACAAATCCAAAATGACCTGTGATTGTTGCGTTTTCAAATTTCTCCGGTGTAGCGTGGACGGAAAACGTCTGATGCGTTTTCGGAGCGATGGGTCCGTTTTTAAATTTCTCCGGCGTAGTCTGGACGTGGCCTAACTCATTCAAAAATAGGTCTACACACCCCTTTCCGTGCAAGATAGTAAGCCAGATCTGTGGCCAGCATGTCAGGGCTCAGTGCAGCTAACATGTTGTCTTTGTGAACCTAATCATGGAAATAAATAACAAGACGTTAAGTTTCAAGTGTAAGTTTTGCGTCAAGAGTGAAAAAGCGGCGTGGAAAAAAAAGATTTTGAGCGGTCAAATACATATGTTTGCCGCATCTTCTCAGCCAATTATAAACAAGCAAAAAATTATTGGTCTTCCATCTCGCGTGACTTTTCCCGCGTTTTTGCTCGCGCCTTTTTCATAGGAGTCAAGACAATCTACAAGACTGTCAAGATTGAAAGTTTAAGATCATAGTTATCACAGAAATTATAAGAATTATTTCCATTATCAAACCTGTCTTCAAAAGGGATGAGTTTCTAGGGAAACTGTTGTTCTGCGTCGACAGGAAAGTGAAACTTCAAACATATAAGTGCCTACAGAAGTAAATTACTAAAAAGTATAACTGAAGCGAATTTACAAAGCCAACGTTTCCAGCAACAGCCCTTTGTCGAAGCACCAACGCACACTAGAGTGCGAATGGACAACCTTACAACTTTTTCCACGGCGGTTAAGTTACCTTTCACAACTGCAATTTAATAATAAGCTAGGTTCTTAGAAAAGTAGAATGAGTTTGGCTCAGTTGCGTTTGCACTTTCCAAGGCCTGTAAGTAGCAAAACAGTGTGAGGCGTTCTGTTCAATTATTTCAGTAGTTTAGTTTTAAGACAGTCATTAGTTTAGTAGTAAGAAGATTGTTCAGAATTCTCTTACTTGAAGAGTGATTAAAGTTCCAGTCGCCACTTGAAGCAAACCCCGCAATGTGTCGCATACATCAAACAGAGGCTCCTTATCTTCCTACAAAAGCAAAGAGAGATTCAACAAATGTTCTAAATACAGTCACAATTTCGTGCGCTGATTCGTTGAAGGAGCGAATCGGCTCAAGACATACTGAAGAATAAGGCAGCCGGACGAAGAGCTTTACAGAAGTTATGAGAAGTAATCACGTGAACATGATGTCATTGGTATTATGCAGTGTTGCTAAGCAACACCTCTGGAGAAAACTATGCTCAGTCAGTTTTCGGTGGACCAATCAATCAATCAATCCAACTTTATTCACGTGTCAAAGTATTCTAGCTCGACTAAAAAGACGTACCAATATACGACACCTACACTAAGCAAGTTCCTAATATTTTATGGAGTGTGTTGTGACGTAACCGGGCCAAGTTGTTGCTGTTTGATAGTTATCGACGTCATAAGTTCTGTTTATGTGCTGTTTTATTTTGTCACATATATTCCTGCCATTAAAACAGCATTTCAACATGCTAACAATCAACTAACCTGTAAATCTTTGTTATAAGTACTCGGTATTCCCTGCGAAATAAAAACAAAACTATGACGACATGATTGATCATCGCAGTTATATACAGTTATGAAGTTTTTTTCAGGCTTTAATTTCACAACTGCTTAAGTTGTGTATATAACTGCGATGATCAATCATGTCTTCA